ATATAGCGCATCACCACTTCGTACAGATGCAGTCGTGTTAAGAACATGGACCTTAGTATTAAATAGGTTCATGGTAAGTGTAAGAGAGTATTCCATCGTGAATTTTATGCTGCTGTTTCACTGCTTTTAACCGACTTTTGGTAAACTGGGTTTCGGCCAACTGGAATTCATTGTTTATGAGTCGGCAAACTGGTACTTGGCAAACTGGGATACGGTAAAGTGGAATCGGCAATCTGGCATTCGGCAAACTGGATTTCGACCATCTGGCCTAGTAACCATTATTACATTTATGGGTTCAACAAACCATTCAGTCATCTGTAACTGTTGTTCTTTCCACTTGCTTTGAAAAGTGAGGTTTCAACTATAATATTATAAGATTGATAAAAAGTGGAGGAATATAGGAAGATATGACGTGTCCCGGTCGGCCATCAATCGATGCCCATGATTCGACTGATGAAAAAATATGAATTTAAGCCTATGCAGTGGTATTTGTTTATTCAAATGAGGGCAATGCAAGGGGAAAAATTTTGAAAATTGTCAGCAGGATTATAAGTGAATTTGTCATATTGTACTTCTGTCTTTAAGCCGAACTTGGAAGCATAAGGTGCAAGTATGAGACCGTATACAAGAAATAAACAAACAGCCGCAAACAATTTTTCTAGCTTGCATTTTTATTACAAACAAAACATGCCTGGCCATTGGTTTTAACTTGCATGCACATGTCTATTCTGTGTCCTCAAAATTACTTTTAGATAAATTGTATTAAATGAACTTCTATCCCAAAGTAATAAACTGAGGTATTTTGTGGTGGAAAAAATAACAAAATGCACTTTAGGCATATCATCTCAAACCAGATCATAAATATTTTCAATTGCTTGACATGATCCTAATAAACACATATCTGTTCCTCACTATATACAAACTCAATTAAATTGTTCTATCTGTAAACAAGAAATCAATACAATAATATTGCCCCAAATGAATAAACAAGATATGAACTCTCAATAATACTTGAATTTAGAAAAAGAGGGAAACAATGAAAAAAGCAGAACAGTACCCTGCCTACCGGAGTTACACTAAAGATACTTGGAACAAAAGACAAAACTATAAAAAAAAAAATTAAAAAAATAATATTTCACGTTAACTGTTTTTGCTTAAAAATTGTAACAGAAAATAATGATGCAAATGTTTATAACAATAGATATGAATAAATATGTAGAATAATTAACCTAACTGATTGTCATTTTAATGTATCACTTAAATAGATAACTTACATCCGTTTCCCACATATTTCATTTATATAGGTATAGTTGTTTTTTTGACAATATTGTTTTCATTGGCACTACAATTAAACTTTAACAAAATATAATATAATATAAAGATACTGGGAAGATAGACACATTGTTCAACGTCCCATCAGGGCTTCTGCCATCATAGATTGATTAATATTCGTTTAGCTTTGCTATAAATTGATAATGAATTTCTAAACAGTATTAATAATAATTTGGTCATCAGTAAACATTATCCTAAACCCTAAACAAAGCCTGGAAAGACAATTTATATAAACATTTCTTGGGATTCAAGGTGTGCAGTCCAATCAAAATACCCAGTGACGAATGTAAACAGAATTCCTATGGACACCTTGTTAAAAAGGTGGCTCCTCAAAAATAATTCTCAGTCAAATAGGTAAATGCTGACAGCAAATATTTAGCCACATATATTGGCATTATTTTAAATATTTATGGTCGATTTCTGACAAAACTGAGTTAACATTGATAATTTTTTGATTGAAGCACACTAACACCTTTATACCAATATTTTTCCCTTAACCCTTTGCAAATGTACAATATATATATTTTTTTGGTTCTTTTTATTTATTTTTTCAATACCTATAAATTATACTAGAAATTGGGTAATAATATTGCCAGCAGTCATTCAGTCTTTGGTCTATAAACTCCCATCACAACACTGGGAGAGCTTTAGAATATTCCAATGAGATGCCTTCAGCCATGCTAGTCTAACTATAAATTCATGTTTGTACACTTTATTCTGCTATCCAATTTACTTTGTAAGCAAACATTATAGACATCACTAAATTACAATTTTAATAATTTCCAATTTGTACGAATTACATTCTTAGAAGCTACATTCATTATTTTTATATTGACCAAATATTCTCTTATTGTAATTTAATGCAAATAATAAAAACTGTGAGTCAGGCAAAAATAAAACATTTCTTGAAAGTGGTTTGGAATCCTCAGCTACTAGATGAGAGATGGTCTTCACTGTTGTTATCTGATGAATCAAAATCCAGGTTTCCACGAGGACGCCACACACTGATTGTTCGATCACTAGATATTTTGTTCAAAGCAAATGAAATGAAACATAAACCCAGCGTTATGTTAGCAAGCTTTACCCGTGAAGTAAAATAATATTGATTAGTTCAAATTATAATTGATGGTCATACTATATTTAATTTCAATTAAGTTTTGCTACAAAATTATATAATGGATTTTAACACCATGATTGTTCCTTTTGGAGATTGCATTTTGATGCATTTTATATTTACAGTTGTTTCAAATATATAATGTGTGTTCAGCTAAGAAAATTAAACTATAATAATTGCATTGTTTACTTTCTACATTTTGAAGTTATTGATTTCCAATTTAAAATTAGGATTAAAGCATATCCTCAGTATATATAAATAATATATTCCTTTGCACCTTTCAATTTTTTTGAAGTAAAACATCTATAATGAACCACCATTAAATTGTCTTTTGCCTTTAAAATTAATAAATTAGAATTGATCCTTTTAAACATGCTATTCAATGCTTTAAATTGGATTTTCTGAGTTTTCTTTTTTATGACAAGTTGTGAATTTTTTTTCATATTTTGGAAATTTTATTCTCATCCTGCATATAATTGCAAACAGGATGTACAAGATTTTCTATACACTATGCTGTTTCTCAACTAAAGATTTAAACTTAGGATTCTGAAATAGGAAGGCAAGCATCTTAACTACCAAGCTACAGCTGTATTCTAAATTTTTATATACAGGTAGTTTACTTTAATATTTATATGGTTAAAATGAAAAAAAAAAGTGAAAGAAAATGTAATTTATTATATTAGATTCAAATCACCTTTAAAATCAGTAGCAAAATGCAATATGTTAGCAAGATAATTATGTGAGTTATGCAGTAAAAACACAAATTAATATTAAATAAATATATGGAAAGCACCAGTCGTCAAGAAAATTATCAACTGTCAGAATTTTGCCAAATTTACTATTTTCTGTAATCTATTTAATTAATAAACAATATATTATATAATTACTTAATATTCAATAATACTATTTAGATACTTAAATAGTTTTTCTTATGTCTACAAAATGAAATGCAAGAACATGGTCTATTTAGATTTGCGATAGTCTGCCAATGCCCCAGTGACCCATTTCGTGGAGATAAAATTCTCCAAGCTTTTATATTACTGTGTAGTAAATGGTTCCAAAAATGTATTAGAAAACAAAATAGTAAATAAATACGGCAGAATGAGGTAATGCAGAGGGTTAGTGAAATAAGATTGATTAAATTCACCAAGTGTTAGTACAATGATGCAAACAAAAGAGGGAGAGAAGATAAAGAACTGAATCAGAAAACATAAACAAACAGACAGCAATCTTAACATGGCCAGTGTCAGCCCACAATGTTCAAAGTATAATCTAGTGAACAACATACACTCATAAGAAGGGACTGTAGCCCATCTGAAAAGGATTATTTTTGAGGAGCATTGTCCTTTTAAAATATTTGGGATATACACATGTGAACATGTGGGATGGCAATTTACAATCAATAATGTAGTATTACTTTCTAGTAGAAAAAACAGACATAAAAACATGAGATTTGAACACACATGCTTCAGGAATTAGTAATGGTAAGAGGGAAGATGCATGACAACATATCACTATGTTACTACAGTACATCTCAATCATTAATTCATAAAAAAAAACAAAAAAAAAGTACATAAAATGGAGCAATGCTCATATATTTAAAGATTATTTCTATTTTTTCAAAGGTTGAATTTTACATTTTTAGTTAAAGGATATATACTGTATTACTTTATACATATTTTAGGTTAAATAATTGTATAATTAATTAATTTAATTTGTATATTATATTTATGTTGAAAAGTTAGATATTACTATTATGTTTTATAATTACTTCAATGTTTTAGGTTTAATATAATTTTTTTCAGAATTTATAAATCTTTTGTTTTATATTAGATATTACATTTTTTAAAGTATTTGTATCTTCCACAATACTATTGTACAATACTATCTCTCCATTTCTTGAAATTGAAATACATTAGCTTTTAATGTACATAATCCAAAAAAGTATATATATAATTATGAATTTAATTGACTGGCATGACACAAAGAATAGTGTAGAAATTACTCACAAACCTTACCTAGAAGCTGTAAAGACATGAGTTGAATTGGTTGCTATGCTGTTGATAGGGCTCGAGTGAGCCTTCATCTCACCAATTTGAGAACAATCATTAATGTTCCACAACTTGAGCTGGCCTCCTCTGCAGCCACTTAGTAGACAATCCTTGCCTGGAAGGAAGTCTAGAGCACATATCCAATCTTTATGTGCTGCATGGACAGACTGGAGAAGATACAAAAAGTTAATTACAATAAAGTGTTCTTGTGAAAGTTGAAGTACAAATTTCATAAGAATAGGGGGCAGACTGTGCAATGCTCCTCAGAGAATCTATTTACCTTCCCATTAATAATCCTATGTAGAGAGGCAAACACAGTGTCTTGCCCAAGGACACAAGCGACCTGCGCAGCAAGAGTTTCGAACCCCCGACCACAAGTTTCAGGGTCCGAGCCTCAACTACTGCGCCAAACGCTTCCACTTTAATACTGTCATTCAATAATTTTTTTTAAAGAGTTAACATAAATTTTGTTGAACCAAACCTTTTGTAGTATTTGCTTCTCAAGATCCCACTTCTTTATACATGTGTCCCTTGATCCACTGAATAGGCAACTACCGCTGACAGCCAGTGACTGGACACCGTCAAAATGTGGTGGATCTAGGTTGTGTTTTGGGGTGATCAGACCTGAGGCCCCTTCAGGCACTTCAAATAACTATAAATAAAAACGAAAAAGTTTAATATTTGATAGCAAATTCTATAAATACATTTTATGTACTATAAAATGTTAGGAAAACAAGAAATGTTATTTACAAATGTAAGTATCAAAGTATTTAAAACAAAATTTTATAAATATAGATTCCGAAATATTTTGGTAATTTGGTAATCAATATGATCTCATCAATAAATGCATTTTAATTTGTGGAGAGATCTCACATACTTCAATTTTAGATTTGATTTTTTATTACAATATAAAGCCTTGTCCACACTATCAAATTTCATTTGACAAAAAAATGTAACATGCCTAAATAAGGTCATGATGACATCACACCTTGACAATATAATATAGGGACATCATGACTATATATGGGCATATAACAGAAAATTTGATAATCTGAACAGAACTTTAGGGAAAGTCATAGCTGATACCTTAATATAGTGGTCTTTAGATCCTGTTATTATCATATTGCTGTTGTTTTCTTGGGCCTCCACTCCTATACACATTACAGCTGCTGAGTGACCACCACTAAGCTTGCAAGTAGCTTGAAAGCTAAAATATTGAAGAATATGTTTTAATAAATGGTAGCCAATTCAAATAGAAAAAAAGAACTAATTTCCTTCAAAATCCAATTATGCCAAAACAATTCCACCACCATTGTTGTCATTGTCACCTGCGTCCTCATCATCACCTATGCGCTTTCTTCCAAAGACATGGCATCTCTATATAAATCCTTTATCTAGCACTTGCTGTTATCTCCTTCTTCTATTGAACCACCTGAAGTTTTGTAGCGGTAGTCTTCAATGTTAATATATCTAAATTTATATTTATTAAGCATAGCGGAACAGGCTCATTAAAATGGCTGGGTTACAACTAGTGAGTCTAGTGCATATTGCCTCCCTAAACCATCCTCCTGTTGTTATTAGCAGTTGAAGCTGTATACTTGCGTAGACTTGGTTGGTATGGTATTATTGGTTTTTTAAAGTGAATAATAGAGTCAGGATTAAGTTTTTAAGATTTGTAGACCTCGGCCATATATGGTTAACATGGATGGGTCTGGGTGTGCTAGGTATGTTCACATAGATCATATAAGGCATGTTGTGGCAAAATGGTTCAGTTGTAGCAAAAAATTGAAATTCAAGTTATTGTTGTTTTCAGATACCTGAGTATATGATCTTTAAAATGAGGGGTCATTCATTGAAATTTGATATTTTAAGCCTAAGTTATTGGAAAGTGAAAGTACAGCACTCTTAAAATCAAGATAAACATGATTTTGAGTAATTGCCTTTCAAAGTTATTTGTGCATACATTGTTTAATAGAATTAACATTATCAAAATAATGTTAAATAAATGATTTGTTGACCACTTCTAGAACTAATATTTTGGGACATGATTAATAAGACATTAAAACTGTTGGTCTATAGTGAAAAACAAATTTGGATTTTTAGGCAATTTTATGAGCTCCCATATTTTATAGCTCATTTACTCAATACTGGCCTGTGTGACATGCCTCATATGTTGTCTAGTGTGGGGGAAGAGTCATTCTAATCGGTTTGACTGGCCTCAATTAGACCGAGAGTTTCTACAGAAAACTGGATTACAAAACCTGTTTGGGAACTTATTTTTTTGTCCAACATTTCTAGATCTACATCTCGAGTCACAACCGATGGTAGAATTGAGTGTCTCCAGTGTCCATAGAAGAGTCTACAGATTTGTCTCAGAATCTCCAACAGCTGTCATCAAAGGAAGTTCTCCGGTTCCCCAAAGTCCTATGTTACCCAAGGAGTGACCCACACCACCAGTGAGCCAGGATTGGGTCCTGCCAATGTGTTCCGCTCGGATTCTGAAACCACAACCCTTTAAATTATAAAATTTTTATTGGTTGAGTATACTATATTAAAATGTAGAGTGCTGTGCTGTGTGTAATATTCCTTCATATTTAAGAGGAGAGAAGTGCTGTATAAACTTGGTTGATTATGGTATTGGGCACCTAATTGGAATACCAGGTGTATGGACTTGGGTGTTTTGAATAAAGCAGTTGTGTATAGCACAAAATGGAGTAGTTGTCTCACGTAGTGACTTATTGATGTCTTGATATACCACAAAGGTACACATAATTTTTAACAGCATTGAATATAACCTGCATAATTCAAACATTGCGAATTGTTGTTGTTGGACCTACCTGTTGAGGTCCCAGACACGGACAATGTTGCTAGCAGCTGAATATAGCTGTGTACCGGCGCTATTGATAGCGATGTCGTTTATTAGATTTTCACCAGTTGGCACTGCTACAGATCTGGTACTGCTAGTGGCTACATTGTTAGTGGTGACAAGTCCAGATGAACTGAAGAAACAAGATCAAAATAAACTTATTCTTCTGTACATTCTCTAACAGGTTGATTTTTCAAACCAAATAAGAAATACCTGATTCATCAGTATACAGATTTTTTTGCTTCTGCTTTTTGATTGGCATCCAAAAGTATACTACACTAAGTGAATTTGCTAGTGTTGAGAATGCTAATAAACATATTTCAATATTTTGAAATTATTTTTTTTAATTTAGCTTTCTTATTTCTTGCAGTTGGTGACTACATTTTCATTTGTAAATGAGGTGAGCACACACTTACTCTATTACAATCACATTTTCTCATCTATAGGAATTGACAATATTTTCTTTTCTGTGCATATTTGTGAATATTTTCTTACCTGAGGGTTTTGATGCATTTTCCACTATTTTCCCTAATGTCCCATACTTTAATATATGATGTTGAGACACTGAACACCAGCTGCAGATTCTTACAGTAATGCACAGATATCACATTATTCGGATGACCGCCAAGTGTTAACAATTCCTGACCAGTCTCCAAGTTCCAAACTTTCACAGTGCGGTCTGTTTCATGAATATAAATTATCAATTCCAACTGATTGTTATACAACTGATATGAGACTACAATACTTGTTATAACAAGTACCAAGCAACAATTATTTTTATCTCACCTTTTGAGCCACTGAACAGCATATCCTCAGTGGCTTGGACTGACAACACTGCTTTGGTATGCCCTTCTGCAGTGTAGGAACAAATCAAAGGTGCTTTCTGACCTTGTGGTTTATTGGTCACACTAACTGGATTAATGCTACCCCTAAAAATAAAGCAGTATAAATACTAATACAAATGGTCATTTAAAAAAAAATGTTGATAAAAGTATATTTCCAAGGATTCATATGGGACTTTGCTTTTCAGTTTCTGGGTGTTCTTGAAAACGTATATGTTAGGGGGAACTGCGAGACATGTTTTTCTCTGCAAAGCCAAGTATTTCACCCAATTACATCAATAGACTTACATTACTATTTTGATAAATGACATGTCATCTTGATAGATAAAAAGGTTCTCATTGGTTGACATTTCATAATTGTAATGATTGATATTTGAAAGAAAATAAGAACCAAACTGATTTAATAACAGAAAACTGATGCCAAATAGGAATAAATGCCTTTTGTTTGATATGACTGCCTCCAACCCTATAACATGATTTTAGTAGGGTATCTAAATAACATTAAAATATTTTTAAAAACATATTAGTCCTTGGTTTAAAAATGGATGGATGGTGTTCTCAAAGCATTTTTGTTTTCTTACCCATATTGGCAGCAATTTTAGTCAATAACCAACATTAAATTAAAACTGACTTTCTGACTTTTTACAAAACCACCATCAACAAACAATAACACCAATTAAAAAACTTTCCAATTATAAAAACGATCGCATATTATGTTAGAAATCAAAAAATGCTCAAGAATTGAATTTTACACACGCAACAATGCTTTTTAACCTTAAGTATGAATGCGACATCTGCATGCTAACACACGGTGGTATTTGATGTGCATGCTGTTAGTTTATCACATACCTACCAATACTTACTCTTGAAAAGTAAAGTATAAAATATATAAGAAAACAAAATAGCAATTGCATATGCAAAAACAAATGTACAAATTACAAAAAAAAAAAAAATTACAAATCAACAAATTATCAGTTAATATGCCATCCTTACACAACTCACATTGCGAAGGCCTCTGCTTGCTATATAAAGTCAGAAGTCTATAGTGTTGGATGGTGTTTGGTGGGTGACTGTTTTCCACCGTAGCTAGGGTTTTATATAAATCACTTAAAGTAATTTGTGATTAAAAAGTGCAATATACAGTAAATGTAAAAGATACTTGAAGACTATTAGTAAGTACAAAGTCAGAAACAGCAAGCAAAATAATGCAATGAATAAATATTAAACTGAAATGAAGCTGACCCAAATAAATTTTAACGTTCCTCTTTCCTAGCTTCCTGTGGGCACAGTAACCATCCCCTTAACATTCTCATGTTCTAGCTTCTCCTTTCCTAGCTTCTGTTCTGTAAATTCTAACCTTCATCTTTCCTACCTTCTTATTTGTAGAGTAAATTCTAACCTTCCTATAACATTCACCTTTCCTATAGTTTCTTATGGGCACAGTAAACTTTAACCTCCTTTTTCAGCTGCCTTTGTCTACAGTAAATTATAATTCTTTTCTAACATGTGTGTACAGAAATTCCAACCTTGGTTTTTTCTATCATCCCAAGTGCACTATTAGAATATTTTGATAAATGTCTTAAGATAATTTTCTTCTCATTAGGGAAATTAATTCACAAAGCAATTGTCAGAGCATAAATATTTCATAACGATGTAGCAATACCACAAACGTGCAATGACATACTTCTCGGCTGCAGGAGGTGTTGGTGAACCGGCCCTCTGTGACAAACGGGCGGAACACAGGTGCTGCTCCACCACTTGTGCTGACCTAGGAGTTGGGGAGGCTGCCCTGGGAGTAGGGGAAGCTGCCCGTTGCACAAGACGAGCAGCACAGCTATGTGCATCAAAAGGTGGAGACCTGGTTAAAAAATGTATACCAACTTTATAAACCTGTACTAATAATTCTTCTTTTAGTAACATGCTATGCTATATGACTATGTTAATCCTATTTATATCATTATTTTCTGTAAACACGTCACTGATTTTAAATTTTTTTATGTTCACCCATCAAGTAACATTTAGATTAATTAAAAGAAAAAAATGTAATGTTTTTTGTAAAAAACCACATTAAGTTACTTTAAGAGATAGTTGGTTTATAAATCAAGTAATATATGTTTAATATAAAATTCTGTTATTTGCAGAGTAGAAGGCAATTATTTCAAAGCTACATCTCTGCTCCAAAGTTTCAAAAGCATTTAGTTTTGATTACTGTCTGTGATTGCTCTTGATAAATAATTAAATTTCCCCCATTCTAATCGGTCTTTAGTTTAGATCTTTTCAAATTTGTTTTGAATCATGCATGAAGCATGCACTGTGCTTTCACCTACTTTGACTGTGTAGTTGGCGTGGGTGAAGATCTACCACACATACGCTGTACACCATGCTCAATCCCTAGCCTGCTTACAAATAAGTACGAACACCATTAACACTATTGCTTATGTGTTTGTCATTACCACTGTTATAGCTTTATTATGACTATCTATTATATACTTTAATTTCAAATTAATAGAAAAATAATAATCAATACTTGCATAAATCAATGCATCACATCAATACATTGAAAATTGTCTGCCTTTACAATAAATCAATATACTGTATATGATATACATATACACAAGTTTTATCAAATATTAGACAATTTGTGCAAAAAATATTTGACCATAAAAATGAAAGCTGCACAATGTATTTACAAACATATATTTATGAATATTATAATGAAATTACAATACAACAATAACCAGAAATTAAGTGAAGACAAGTGTACAAATGAGACCATCATAAACAAATACAAATATATAATTTGATGTACAACAAAATGCCATTTCTACTCTATTTGTTAATTTGCTGGTTAAAAAGTGGGTTAGATATGGATCACATAATGGATAAAATATTTAAAAAATACACAATTAAAGTGACAATCTCAGGTGTATGTCATTGGCATGAATCCATGTCAATGCAAAATATTCCCAGAAAAAATATCCATTCGTCAGCGAGCATGTTATATTAATAACAGATATTCACGTTATAAAAGGCTCATGAATATCATGCAATAGGTGGCAGTGAACCGAGCCCCAAATTATTCATGATGAAAACACCTGAGAATGTCACTTGAAAGAACAGATAAGTGCCACAGTGAACAGACAACAATTCGCACATGTAAAGACATTTCTGCATTTCTGGTTTCAAAGGAAACTTTTGAAGGTTGACAGAAGGAGTGCTGAGAGGAGTGGAGCGAGAGAGCTGATTATTTGGAGAACAATTAGAGATGAGAACAAACCTGTCGACCGTGCCCTGGGCGGGTGAACTCGTTTGAGCGTATAACCGTGAAAAGACATTCTGCTCTGAAGAACGTCTCGTTTGGGGTGGTGAACCAGGAGGGGTGATGATAGGAACAGTTTCACTAAAGAATCATTTAAAAAAGTAAATGGAAAAACTAAGGAGAAAAAATACACACGACAAAAAATGTAGAATACATGCACTAAGTCTAGAAAACGCAAGTTACTGTACAACTATGAGGTAAACATTTTGAGAGGACAAGTCAACAGTTTGACATGTGACCTCTCAAAGAATGCTTTAAGGTTATTAGCATATGATTCCCAATTAAATTAAGGATTTCTCTTAAGCTCTACAAGCTACTACTGTTTATTAGAAATTGATAGGAACATGTAAGAATAAGCTTTTTATCTAGAAATTTTAACTGTTAAAGATTACATTGCATCAATTAAGTTTTAAAATATAGGCCTATAATATTAGATTTCAAAAAAATTTTAAAATGCACAGCAGAGCTATCATATGATCTGTATGCATAATATTATGCACATTTCATTGAGGTATATATTATTCATTATCATCATCATCAATTATGCAGCTTACTATCATCATTTGTTCTTATAAAATAATGTTTAATTTTAGATTCTAATTTTCTTTTATTAATTGTTTCAGTAATAAACAAATAAGACATGCGAAGTATCATGACAAAAAATAATATCCATCCTTCATCTAGTAGTGCAGTCAATTGTAGACGACCTATGTTTGTTTATACAGACTGCCTGTACACCATTTTATACCACTTGAGGTTTACTTTAGGTGGTATATCAATATAAATTTATAATTAAAGTGTGCAGAAATATACAACGATAGCAAAATTATTACACACTCATTAGAAAATAAAACATTTCCACAAACTACTCAAATGAATGGTGTATCAACAAAAGTGGTGAAAAATCAACACAATGAATTAAAAAAAGAAATGGAAATGGGTACACTGTTGGTACTTACGTGCTGACTGTATTAATAACCTGAGGTTGGGGGATGCCTTTCCTCCTAATGGCTGGGGAAGCATCTGCATGGCCACTCCGAGTGGGCATACCCTCATTGGATTGTCTTCTACTTGCTAAGCTCCGTGTGGCTGAGGATGACTTGTCACTTCTACACAAATAACACACAACACTATGTAGTGCATGCTAGGCTATATTACCATGCAGTGGAACATTTTATTTTCCAACAATTTAAATAGAGGGTGCACTACAATGCAAACCAAGATAACTGCTTTATTACCAAAATAAAGTAATTAACTTAGGTTTGGAATACTGCCCTCTATAGTTGGAAGATTCTATGATAATGTCACAGAACATCGGTACCTACAATGACATATTGCCAAAACAGTGCTACATTTCTTTATAAAGTACGATAATTATAAGGATTTGGATTTGTAGAGTATCTCTGACAAAATCAATGAAACTTATTTGAAATAAAGTGATCACTGTTCTAACTAATGATGTAATAACAAGTGAAACAAAACAAAAACTTGAAAATATTTAGTAATCACTTAATGAGACAGTAAATAATATCACAGATGAATAAGTATCAATAAGTATAAATAACATATAAAGCAATAAAAAACAAATATAAATTTAATAATAGAATTATACAAATAAAGCAACCATGTAAATATAATCAATACACAAGTAAGTGTTGAAGCTAATAAACTGTGTATGCAATATATGTGATTAAATGGACAGTCAAAAGCATAAACATGTGTACAAACATTGAGAAACATCTAAACATACATACTGACTAAATACATTAACTCACTGGGACAGGCTCATTTAATATATATTTGATGAGCAGTGCATTATACTACGCTACTTCCCAGGGAGCAGAAGATGTCTGCCAATATGGATATAATGACAAGGGGTAATAATTCATACATTTCTAAACAAAGAGGGCTAGATATTTATAATGTTATTAAATACTTATAAGCTTATAGATAATTCTAATCATGTCAATGATTAGATCTAATGAGATTATACTTGCAAATTAATAATCAACATATTAGTTACTATGTCTTAGGCCACACATCTTGGCATAATTGACATTTGAACCTACATTTTAATGTTGAATATACTTACTTTCCAAAAGAGTCCCTCTTAGTAGGAACTGTCCTGGGAGGCGGCATGATGGCAGAATCTGAAGCACTGCTGTTGTCATCAGGGGATGATAGAACCTTCTCTGGCAAGGTGATCAGAGGTGTAGCATCTGGGTTATCTTTCTGGCCTGCATATAACAGCTCCTCCTGTGTGGCTGTTCGTCTTCGAGCCTTTAAAAATTATTTTTAAAAATTCAGTCAAGTAAAGAATAAAAAAAATAAATATGAATAAAGTAGACCCCCCCCCTCCTTTGGGGCACCACTATTCTGGAGTCACCCCTATTAAAGAGAAACTTTTCTGTGAAACAAAGCCCTATTAAAGGGACACATCTCTTAAGGGGACGGGACACTTTCTGAGCATGCCAAATGGTCAAATCAATGGCATTTTCAACCCCTATTAAGGAGACACAATTGCAAATTATTGTTATATACATGTCATCATTAATAAGGGTTCTACTGTACTGGACATTTATACCTTGTTGAAATTAAAATATTGATAATAAGATTTTTAATATAAAATTATAATGCTTGTGATGTTATGGGATGTAGTAAATATACACTTTTTACACTGTGATTTATCTTTAAACATATTTGTCGGAGTTTATATATTTTTTTATATAATATATAAATTAAAATAACACTTATAAAAATATAAAATATGAATATAACACAATGAATTATGTTAACATATTATATTCACTATAGAGCAAGCATCACATCATAATAGATAAAAAAAATGCAAGATACCAACTCTAATTACATAAAATATACATAAAATATCACATTAAGAAGCAGGATTGTGATCTAAACATCCAAAAAGAATTTCGAAAAAATGTATTTCAACAAAGATCACCAGCACTATATTAAAGAGGAAAAAAAATCTAAATATTATTCAAATAACAAAACCAGATAATACCAAAATTACACCTATACTTGATTCTCCTGATGCAAATCCAGTTATTGTCTATTCCAATATGACAATAACAATTACTATCAACATTGCAGTACCCGCTGCTTACTTGGACTCGAATTCAACCCTGGCCATCAGGTGCAAGCTTGGTGGTCTATAGGTATGATGCCAGGCTAGTGATCTGGAGATCGTGGGTTCGTGTTCCACCCGAGAACAACTTTGTTGTTTCTATCATTTTTCACTTGAAAATTATGGGTAATCATTTTTTAAATACACTAATTTCTATGTTCAAATTTATAATTTTTATGAGCAAGTAAATTTAAAAAAAAAAAAAGATTTTTATAATTTATTTCATGGGACAATACATTTTAAAAATCTCTACTTACATCAGATAGGAGAACTATTGGAGCATTAAGATTGTAGACAATCATCTGGTTTGTAGTAATGATAAGATTGGTTTGGGCAAAAGAAAATACTCTATTGGGGCATCACTTACCTTATCCTTTACCTTAGTCGGCTGCAATGGCACGTCAGTTGGTGGCAGGCCATTATTTATCACTGGCAACACATTCTGACTACTAGTACTGTATACATCAAACACACATTATAGAAACAAATACAAAATGATACTGCCATTACTCCACAGATGTCATTACAAACAAGCAAATCATGCATAGCTACACATAAATAACAAGATTAACTTTCAACAGAAATGAGATTTATTTTGTACAAATACCTCTTCCTTTTAAAATTTGGTTAGAGGAGAGAGAGATAATAACCAACAGCAGTGCTCACACAATTGTGCTATTCTTTCATGTTATATATGTCGGTACATAAAGTGCAGTAAAAACATGTATGAATTAATGTAGTGCCAATTTTAAATGCATTTTATTATTGTTAAGAATGCAGATCAGCATGTTGTCTATAGATTTTTGTGGATTATTGAAATATATACCAATATAATTATGGCTTTCTATCTTAACATCATATTTTTGTACAGATATTCGCATTTTTGTTGAATTGCACACCTCTGCTACAACACATAAGCATACAATATTTAACACTTAAATTGGAAGTCCATTTTGTGATTCTAAATTACATACCCATCTCTCAGCAAATTCAAGCCTAGTCAAAAAAAAAGCTGTTTCTTTAACTTAGGCTTGTATACAGAATATATATATATTGCTAAAAAAGTAATATTACAATACAATAATTGTATGATAAAGATGAGTTAATAAGTAAATTTATATACAATAGCAATAATACAAAATGGTTTACATTTTATATTTTTACATATAAAATTATTAATTATTGAAAAATATCTCTTGGGAGATTAAGTCTTTTTTTTTTTTTTAAATTAAGATGGGCCATATTATAAAGCAGCAAAACAAGTTGGTGAAATTATTTCACTCTCTTAGAATGCTCATCTTTACCATTTACAATTATATTTGATTTGTATGTCATTTAACTGTATTTAGAAATTAAAAAATATATGAGCAACAATAAGTTTGTTCAAGTATAGCTCTAACAACAACATTCATTGCATCACAATAATCCATTTCATTCCTACTTTCATTTTCTTCACTGAAACATGCATAAATGCTTAAAAACATAATAGTAGTGACAATGGTTATGATAATGGTGATGATGATTATGGTGATGATGAAGATGGTGATGATGATTATGGTGATGATGATTATGGTGATGATGAAGATGTTGATGGTAGTGACAATGATGAAATTGTTGTGGTTATGATGATTGTGACAATCAGGATATTGATGGGGATGATGCCAATAAAGTTGATGAAGGTGAAAATGATGGTGGAGAATATAATGATAACAATTTTGATGATGCAAATTACGGCAACATTAACAATAATGGTGGTGGTGATGGCAATGAGAAATTTGATAGTGATGTTGGTGATAAAAGTAGACAATTCTGATGACAATATCCTCACTTGTATACAAATTTATGAACTAATGTGAAATTTGAAAAGCAATGCATTAATTTTTGATATACTATACACCAGTATTCTAGTACTGTTTTGCAATAATCATATATATATATATATATAAATTTGATATTATAAATACAAAAGATGTTAACAGATTTTGTAATTAATATTATTAGCAAATATGTGACCAGCTCTGGCAAAACCTGTTTGTAAAAAAAATTAAAAATTTAGTTTTTGGTATTTTTAAATTCTGCATGATGGAAATTGAGTGTTAGCAAAGTTATTAATGTTTAATGCATTGGATATAATAGTCTAGTAGGTTTTGAGAAAACGGCTTCTAAAGATTCCAAAATTATTAGTTTAATACTGAGGATCTGTAATTTTAAAATAATTTGAATATATGTTTCAGTTAGATTTAGTACTTAACACTTTGCAGAAATGGTTTTCAATATATCTTCTTCTATAAACTGCAAAAACCAGAAATTGTTTTAAAAATCAGATTTCTGGACATTTTGGGTGCTAACGCTAACTTATAAATTGCGGTCACATGTACCGATACATCATAATTACAAAATCTGTTAACGTCTAATATATTATCTTTTGATTTTCTCTCATCATATTCCAACATCATATTTGTAAGCATTTCTTTTATTTCCTAAGATAGATTTCTAAATATATCAATGATATTGGGGGCGCAATTACCTTGAGTCAACTGGGGAAGATGCTCTCGAACTTTCAGAACTACTTGTGCCATAAGCTAAATAGAAAAATACAACATGTGTAAGAAACAATGCAAAAACAAATCCCTTTACATTAATGGATGTGATTATTTTATCTGAAGTTATAATTTCTTTAAATAATAATATTTTAATCATCACTTTTTTTATCCCTATAAATTACTTCTGTTGTCTGTCTATCGTTTGTTGTAAAGCTTTGTCCTACTATATATTTGTATTGGTGGTTTGTATGTATTGCTTAAGGAAAACAAATTTCGAATTTTGATTTTGATGATTGGAAGATAAAGTCAACTTGATAGATATGGTAGGTTATAACATTATATTAACAAGAAATATTGAATGAAATATTATATATTTGGTAGTTTACAACATAACTTTGATAGATTAACAAAATGGCAAATCCGTTTAACAGTTACTTAATAAAACATCTTTAATTACAATTAAGATTACACAAATTAGCAGTCAATACATCACGTAAGCATTCACAAAGTCTCAATAACATCAAAATATTTGAGAAATATGGGTTTTGAATTTTTTTATAAAATACCGAAAATCTGACATTTAAAAAAAATACCGAAATCTGACATTTAAAAAAAAATCAAACATGGAATTACAATCTTGTTACTCTTAAACTGACACAACAGCAAATGATGCCGTGATAGCCTTACCTTCAGGCTGTGTGAACAGACCCTCCACCTCAATATCCATTCCTTGTTGATCTGAGATTACATGTTGTAGCAGCTGTTGCTGTACAAAGCTGTTCTGCTCAACTTGATGTAGCTTAGCATCCAGCTCACGGATCGTGGACTCTCGCTGTGCTGCCACTAAACCCTAAACCAATAATGCATTATTCTGATCAATAACATTCTTGACAAGTCGCACCTCTTTACTTAGCAGTGCATGGTAGTAGAGCCACTGGCTTATCCTCAGGGGATACTGACACTGAGGTACCTGCGTGTACACGGTAGTGATAGTGATGCCATCTCAAAATTGGGGGTGTGCACCTTCCTCCCCTTTGTGTTTGCACCAGTCATCAGTTAATTTATTGTAGTTTTTTAGTGGTTATAAAACGCTTTGAAACGGTCATTATTGTGGAAGGCACTAAACAAAATGCATGACGATTGACTTCATATAATCTTTTAAAATTGTCTTGCCTTCTATACATTTAAAAAAAAAAATTCTTCTTTCTAATGTTAATTTCTGACGTATCCAGAATCTAGTGTATTTAAAATGTTGCATTGCATTGCATATCTAGAACTTCTGTATAATTGTTTTATTTTGTTCGTCAATATTGTAAACTTTATAAAATGCATTATAAAATTGTTGGCAAATGAACCAAAGTATTTTATTTGGAATGAGAACAATGAGGATACACGAAGGTATAAAACCAAGTCTATCAAATTTTATTTAACAAAACCATGTGACATGCCTACATATGGTCATGATGACATTATAGCATGACCATATATAGGTACATCATGAATATGTATGGGGGCAAACAACAGTTTTTTGTCAAAGAAAATGTGATAGTTTGGACAGAGCTTAATACTTACAGTGTTGATTGATAGAGTGAGGAAATGCTCCAAAAGGTACTTGGCTTCCAACAGGTTGCAGGATTCTATTACATCACTTATCACCTGAGTCTCTCCATCGTCCTAATAAAACATACCAAAAATAATGTCTTTATATTATAATTAATGGGTAAAATACATTAACATTGAAGATGACATTGTCAATCTACAAATAACAAAACACCACTATTACCAACATGTATCAGTTACTAACAAGAATTATTAATGCATCACATTTTTTATCTTGCTAAATTTAGCACATTATACACATTACAAGAAACATATACCAAAGGAAATTACCTTAGTAATAAGACAATAAACAACACATAACCCTATTTTGTGATAAACAATGTGAAATGATGATGACTATGATGTTAGTTATGATGTTATCAATGATAATGAATATGATACTGGTAATAATAGTACTATTGATGATTATTAGATAATGATGATGATTAACCATATTGAAGGTTTGAATACCACATTTTTTTTAACAAAGAAAAAGCAAGGAAAATTTAATATAAAAAGTATTAAGTCATACAGTATCTCAGTTGGTTTTATCACTTTATTCACCAATTTTAGCAGTAGTAATTATATTCTTATAACCATTTAAATTGTCATTCATTAAGTACACTTTAAACACTAAAATATATAGATAAGTTTCACCTGAGATTAAAAAAACAGAAGCAACTAGATACGAGAGTTTAAACATTGCACTAATAATATTGCTGAAAATACAGAAGTCAAACAACTGATAACAAACTTGGGTCTGTTTAAGAACCTACTAATCCATTTTTTAATGCAGATTCATAGAACTATAAAATGACACAGTTCAACTTGCAGATATTTAAAAGGTGGTGTTGTATTTTACCAACACAGAAGACTTTAGGCATATGCTGGGTGAGTTTCACCCTTCAGCAAGTCAAACAGTTCATTATTGCCCTCATTTTGACCATTATTAGCCAATCAGCTAAGTAGACTAGTTTTAATAACCAATTGCAGCGTCAGAAGCTACAACAAAATCTATAATTCTATGTTGGTTTTATGGTACGTCACAAACAAGCTGCTATTTGATGTCAAAATGGTGCAGTTCAAATTACTCTTTTTTACTTCATTAATGGGAAATTTTCGAACTAACTCTTTCTTATGTTTTAAATAGTATAATAATGCAAATGCAGTTATCTACATCTAATATTTGATACTAATAATCAACATGTAATGACGTGTAACAAGTCACCATCAGGCAATAGTGTTTATGCTACCACTGGTTTATATAACTACTGGTCAGATGTATGGCAAACAGACAAATACTAAGGCAAGTCATGTACATTAAAGCTGAATACTGTGGTTAAGACATGTATATAAGAATTAGAATGAGAGAATAATATTAATGATTTGTTTGTTTGTTAAGTAAAGGATTTCCCAAGCAATTTAAAGGACTTCTTTAATTTTAAGTAAGTAGTTATTGTGTGTGGAATCAAGAACAGTGAAACAGTCTGAATTAGATGTGTTTTTACATGTAACTGAGTTTTGGAAGTGTTTAAAAATGTGCGAGGACTTGCTTCTAGAAGTCTATTGCTTTCACAGCAACATCAACACAGGCTCTGAGATTAGTTAGAACATAGTATTTTACATTGAACGAACTGCCATTTGCTGTCAAAATGGTGCAGTTCCAATTACTTTTTTGTATTCAGCAATGGGAAATTTGTGTTTAATAATTAGTAATAGTGATAATTATAATACATATGACCAAACAACAGTGGTACAGCTATTAGCTTTCAATGGGCCTACATTGTAAAAAAGGTTTCTTCACATATAATGTATTAATGTGATATATCGGTCAATTCTGCAAAAGACTCGCGTAAAAATAGAGAGAATTACTGACGACAGTTTCAAAGTAAGAGCTAATTTTTTCATATACCTAGACATGTTTGAATCTTCCTAAATTGGAGAGGTATTTGCTGTTGAATGAAACAATAAAAAAATATCAATTAATTTATCAATCGCATCAACCACCATCACTAGCTCCATCTCCGTCAGCATAAAAATAGATCTAAATGACTAGCTGATTTGAATCTGAATCCGACTACATATCACTAAATATAGTTGGTAAATTTTTCAACCAGTCTTTTCTGTCATGCACTAAAAATGTTCCACGTCGTTTTGTTGATATCGCAACTTTATTTAAGCGTGTCATGCGAATGGGAATGCGGCTCTTTCGTTCAGTTATCTTCATTCCTAATGATTGCGTTTGTGTCTGTGTTGATTCCTGTACAACATCCACCCTTTTTTCTTCCCCATAACCATTAATCTGAGCATGGCAATTAAGATTGTTATAGCTGTATGGTTCAAAAACAGCATGGAAACCAAAACCATTGTCATAAACATTGCTTGACGGAGTCAGGAAAGGACTGACAAGCTGCTGGCGTGCCTTCTTCAGCTTGTCACAAGCAGCAATGACCAACTTCATTGCATCCTTGAGTGACACAATACAGTGGTTTACAGGTACGGCCCTTTCAGAATTTCCATCAGCTCCCGTGTCCAAGCCACTGCAATGCATGGAAGACATACTATCCATTATTGGTATGCATGCACGTAACGAGTAATCATGTGCAGACGTGAGCATCTGATCGAGTGCAACAGTTTCCAGTGGCATACGTTCTTTAACAGATTCATCTGTGGGAACTGGTCTCAGAAACTTTGTATGCTCGGAAGACGGTAAGTAGTGACACCAAGTAGATACAGCCTCGTGTGACCTCTTGGTGACTTCACCAAGGCTGGAGGCATTGATGTTTGACCGGAATGATTCCCAGATGTCACTGCTAATTGAGTAATTTGAACTGACGCTTGGCCTACGACTACGAAAACTGTCCTCGAATCTATCAGACTCATCGTCAGACCAGTGTAAATCAGTGCTAGAGTAAGACAGAGAAGCTGTAGACCAGTCACTGCAGAAAGAACTGCTTTCAGACAGATCAAAATCATCAAGTTCATCATCAATAGTATCATCCTCCTCCTGATCATCTTCATCTGTAGAAGGTTCTGGATGTTCAGGCAGTGACTGCATAACTGGGATTTTGTTGATCTTTGCTCTTAATGTTGACACTTTCTTCTTGTCTACACTATTTTCCACTCTCTTTTCTTTCTGTTGATTTAAAACAAATTAATAATAATTATTAAATAAATAAATAAAATGAATAATTAATAAATAATCATAATTATTTCCAATAAATACTGACAAAATTTAAAAATTATCAATTTTTATAAGCATTTAGGTTTTATTCATGCTTCAACACTTTAATAAAAATTAATATTAAAATATATTGAGTTTGGATTAAGATTAGATTACCAAAATTGTAATTGCATTATACTGTATATAGCTAGCAAACTCTTGGTCTAATAGCATGAAGATATAACACCTACCTTTACATGTACTGTCACCATAGCCAGCTCAGCTTTTCCAACACCTTCTTTGAAGCAATGATTTCAGGCCAAGCGATAAACTAATCTCAAGTCTAAGCACAATGTACCAAGAAGACATGCACTTTGCCATTTTAGTAATATATGTTCTAACAGTTGTTTAAATATTTGTTTTATATCTTTTAAATTTTAAATTCAATTGTATTTGCTTCTCGAACATTCAAATTCTAACATCCATATCACCGACACTCACATACGCCATGCTTAATGGGAACAAGATGTGTGGGTTTACATTATGAAATACTTAGTTGTGAGAGAAAAATGAGCAAATATGAGATATGGTGTAGGAAAGTGTAGATTAGATGAAAATAAAACAATGTTTGGAAAGAGTTTAGTGAGTTTAATTCAGAGACATTTAACAGTTCGGAAGTACAATGTGTAATTAAAGTATTGAACATGAATTCAGAATGGATGGGAATAGGCGTTTGAGGAATATCTTATTCAGAACATTTACAAAAGCAATTACAAAAATGTTTCAAATACTACAGAAGTAATGCAAAACAAAATGTCCCTCAATTCTCAAAGAAAGCACATCCATACACCCACAGATACATAGAGTATCCCACCACCCTTATCCCAACAGACATACACACATCAGATATGTGCACAGATTAATACATGCAATTTGAGCAGACTGTTTTTGCTTTTTCATTCATAACAGAATTTTTTTTTCTAATCATTGCACAAAGATATCTAATTCTGGTAAATATCTTGGTTACAGATATTGCTCTGTGTAAAAGTTTTCTAACATTAGTTGTAACATAAATTGAATAAATGGGTTAATAAACATGAATTGGATGAGAATAGTTGATGGTTTGAATTTAACTTAAATGTTTCATTTTTAATAGGCAACCAGGAATCAGGTTTTTTTTTTTTCTTTGTCATGCTCTACTCACCCTGTTCTCCATCATCTCCATTATATTACTTTGGCATTCTGATATTTGTTCTTGGACGTAATCAATGTTGGCTTGAACAGTTCCAATTTGATCTGTAAGATCTTGGAAAAAAAAATAAGAAAGACATAATGTAGACATCAACAATATACAACATACAGTTCACCCTGCAATTCAAGACCACCTTTGGCCCCAGACAATTTTGGGTAGCCTCTGGTTTGGTCTCCAGTTAGAGGGTTAACTTTGTCTTAAACGAGTGAAGAATTTTAGTTGGTGCTTAAAGTAGTTTATAATTAGAGGGGTCTAGAATTGGAGGGCAAACTGTACTAAAATTTGAAAAAGTTTCAATGATGCACAAGCAAAAAGAGCCTATGTCTGATGATAAAGCTTCCACTTCTACTCTCTCCTCTCCCTCCTCTTAATATCTGTGTAATTAATTAAATAAAATTGACAAAATATCATCACATATAAGGGAAATCTATTTAGCATTAGTATTAATAGTATACCAGTCTTACCTTGAACTTCTTTGGGATCTTTACCATCTCTGACAGCGTCATCTCGCTTAGTAGTGTACTTGTCCAACTTCTTGTCCAGTTTCTGACGGTGACGTAAAAATCTCTCCATGTCACTTTCCATGTGGCTCACAGTCTGTTTACGGGTCACAACGTTACTTATCTATTATGAAAAGAAGGAGGAGATAGAGTGAGACTTTCTCTGATTTGCTTTTAGAGCAACAGACCTGAGGGACTAACTGGTATGATCTCTTGGAATTCTTCCAATAATAAGGCTTACCAAGCCTTCATAACACCTCTTACATCCGTATTCTTAAAACCAACTTTAGTCGAACTTCAAACTAGAACTTCATTTAGTCTTAGTTGCAACTTCAACTTCAATTTGTATTCACAAACAACGTAGTTAAAGTTCTAACTACGACTAAATCAAGTCCTAGTTGTAGTTCAGCGGAAGACGGCTGGCAAGCAACAACTATCAAACTAACCAATAAAAAGAGCTAATTTTAATAGCAGACGAAGTTTCAGATCCGGTATTATAACACGGATGAATATTAAACTGCCGTCTGTCTTTCAAAAACATATTTCCTCATAATTCATAATAGAACATTATATGCCTAACTAGTATTCTATAATAATAACTACAATATTAGTCATTAACATCTAACGATAGAGAATTTGAACTGTCATTTAAAATTTGCTTTTTTTGGAGAATTATTATTGTTGAGGTCTAGCAAGGGTGGCGGTTACGGTGAAGCTACATGACCGCATCGCGATGGGATTTCATGAAATCAGGAACTGCTGCATGTGGCTAGCAAAACATGTAATTTCGCCTTCTGGAAGTTAAAAGTAATGTTTCTTTTCTTGAACACACTGGAGATACATCAGATCTATTTATACAATTGTCTTCATTCATTTCACTTTATCGTAAGTTATAAAATAACGTTTTTAGTGGGGTAAATATTTCAAATTGGCGATTTAGCCTGACCCTAGGCTGACTAAAAAAATCGGCCTGAGGAGGTATAATTTTAGTCCATGTTCGCATGATTTAGTCGTAGTGCTAGTCAAAGTTTGTTTTAAGAATACAAAATGACAAAATTTTTAAGTTAGCTCGAACTACGGCTAAAATTTGTTTTAAGAATACCAGGGTTATTGTATTTTGCTGCATGTGATGAACGATACACAAATTTATATAATTAGAAAGAAATATACATATCTTATTTTTGTAGATTTCAAGCGGTGGGCGTAATAAAAATAAAGAAAAACTTCTTTCTGAATATCGGGTGCACTATTTGGCCAAAAATAAAATTATATTTTTATTTGAAATTTTCATTATTGGTGGGCGGAGGGTTCCCTAAACAAGATATGAAAAAAGTCTCGCCTAACTTCAGGGAAACAATAACACAGCAGTAAAAACATGCAAACATTTAAAATTTGAGAGAGATAAATTCATTTGTAGAAGATTTTTGCTTGCTTGTGGGATTGAGGAAGACCATGATGATTTCTGCGAAACTCCTACGAATTGTGGGAATACCCACTGCACGATGAAGGATTAGTGTTCACAGAAAAAAACACGCTTTGTTTTTTGTTATTTCTTATTAAAACAATCTCCTGTTATATTCAGGTGCTAATATTTTTATAGAGCTTCAACAATATATAGTTGATAAAAAAAACAAACATTATTGATTTTCTTATCATACCTTCCTCTCAACGTTCTGCCATTTTGTACGTGCCACTTTCGATGAGTACTGGCTGGTGCCTTTCCTTGTATGTCTTCGTGGACCTGACATACTCACTGGTAGCTTAGTGCTCTCTTTCGAGTCCATGCCACTGACTTTTCCATTTTGAGCACTAACAGTTCTTGCAGTACGTAAACGTCCTGCAGCCTTATCAGACATCGGCCTCTTTTGCTTCCGCAGCATTGAAAGTTCTTCCTGTCTACGCTTAAGAACTATCTCCCTCGTCCTTGCTTTGGCTTCTAGATTCTTTATTAGATTCTAATTGTATGATAAATTAAAATTTGAAAATTACAATCTGCTTGACTCTCATGTTGAATATATTTATATTTAATTGTAAATCTGTGAATTACATTTACCAACAAAATAACTTGATAGCGATGATAATAACAAAAATTAAGGTAATAAGTAATAGTGTGTGAAGAAACAGGTTGTCCTTGTGTAAAAGAGCAGAGAAAGACAGGGACAAGAAATAATGTGAAAATGGCTGCAAGGAGGATTAAAAGAGGAGATGACACATAATGGAGAATAGGGTATTGTAAGAAACTAGCACTGTGTACACCAATGGAATGTCTGTGAGTATAAATTTGGCAGTGGTGAAGCACATAGTATGGCTGATGACAATGATGGCACTGATGATCATATTGATGATCATGATAATAATGACAATGATGAGAAAGATGATTTGAATAATGAAAAATGTAATGATGTTCGTAATAGTGGTCAGGATTGTAAGAACGAAACTGATGACAACAATTAGGTTGAGGAATCCAGTGATAATTATAGTAGTGAGCATGAGATGAAGAAGAAACAAAAGACAGAAGTAGAAGACTGCAAGGATGGAGACAATCAAACTTTTGATGACATTGAAAATAGCAGTGACAGAGAAGGCAAGGAAGGCAGTTAGCAGGATTAAGGCCAATTTTTATATATCATTACTTCTTTCTTCCTTTCACTTTTTTTAAGTTGCTGAATTTCTCGATTTGATTTGCCTTCCCGTAATCGGCTGTTCTGCTGCTCTTCCCGGATTTGTTTCATAAGTTTAACCTGTGAATAAAAAAAATTACAAATAATATAAAGACTTTGTCGTATGTATATATCATAATAAAATATAATCATAAAATATTAAGCAAATAAATAAAGCAAGTAAAGAGAGCGGATTAGCTCAGTCAGCTAAACTGGTGGAAGTCACTGTGTGTGCACTGAACAGTGGAAATCTCTAGGTCCCTGGTTCAATTCTCATCGCTGCTCTTGTGTTTCAGATGGAGCGCTAAAATGCAAGTTATGATAACACCCCGTCTTTCAGATGAGAGGTTTAAGCCATTGGTCTGGTATGCATTAAGGCCCATGTGCACTTTAAAGCATAGTACACTCTGCGGAAAAGAGTAGGAGATTGTCTCCCGGTGTACTGCCCAATCACCACCAGAAGGATCCCACTGGAAATAAGTCTTTGGACTAAGTGAGTTATCCTTAGTGTGATTCACACCAAAAATATCCCTACAGTACTTCTACTCCTAAAACAAAGAAGATATTAAGACATCAAAGCAAAAAAAGTAATAAAAAAATCATGATTTAAACTTATTTAGAATTCGGAATATTGTTCCAACCTTCAATTTCTTCATTTCAGCTAAATCTGTTTGCAAACTTCGCATTTGCTTTTCATATTGAGTTTTGTTTCTAAGGAGCCTAGAGTGTTCCTTCTGTCCTTTCAAAAGGCGGTCTTTCTCTTTTGCTAACTTCTTTAACTTAATTTCATACTCTGCTTTAATCTTTGCTGCTTTCTCTTGAGTTCTTGATTCCGTCATTGATCCTATCAAAAAATATACTTTTTACTTTCAAAATATCATTCAATTTAACAATAAAAATTCTTAATCAAATTTTTAAAAATTAAATTAAAGCCCCATTCCCGGCAAAATTTCAATTTTTAAAAAAAATCTAATTTTTGTATAATGTTATAAAGATTTATAAATATAATACGGAATTGCTAGTTTAACTGAATTTAGACATTCCTAAGAATGAAAAAAATGTAAAATAAGACTGAAATTTGATTTTTTTTGTGTTATACACAAAAAATAAATGCGGATGAATTTTCATATTTGATTTTGCGACAGGTCGTGAGAAGAAATATCGTAGGCGCCGAAAACATTAGCCTACCCAACGCTGCTAGGCTAGGCCTAGCCTTACCTCTATTTAGGTTCTGTTATCACACATAAAAACGGCCGACAAATTATTTCAAATTTGTTAAAAAACTGATTCTGACTGAGATTTTGACACTTAAACAAACATATCTCAGCCTAACCGAACGACCGCATTGTGCGAGATGCGAAGTACAAAAACTAATCTCACTAGAGAGGGCGCACTTTATTGACTGTATAAAGTATACATAAAAGCGAGAGTATTCCAGTGGATGCGATCTACAACCTCTGAATTTGCCTAGTAACGATGAATTCGTCGAGAAAATGGTACGGTAATATTTTATGAGAAATAGTCTGTATTCTAAAAAAAAGTCAGTTTTTAGTGAAATTTTGCCGGGAATGGGGCTTTAAATTAAGTATTTTTTAAATGTTATTCACTTTCAACAGTGTCACTCCACTCACAGGATGGAATAAATTATGATGATGCATAAATTTAACCCCTGTTCACACTATATGTTTTAAGTAACAAATACCTGTGTCTTTCCTATCGTTGTGATATGACATCATCATGCCATTTTCAGGACAAATCTGAGATATGTCACATTAAACATGATGGTGTGAACAAAGTTAAGGTCTTCGCTTTATAAAAAAAAAAAAAAGATAAAAATGCAATACTGTATATAATAAACAACAAATTTATTTCCATTAAGAAGGGGAGTTGAAGTAGAGGGCAAGCACATTAACCACCAAGCCACAGCTCAACTCCATTCCTGTTGATGCTTAATCCAAAAAATAAATCAAAATAAATAAATATATAAAATTTCCATTGAGTAACTATACATCAACCCTGGCATACACGACAGAAACCTTAGCAGGTTCTCAGGTAATAAGTCAATAAGAAATAAACGACATACGGAGGAATAAGGCAGAGTATAGTGTCCATACAGACACTCAATCTGCCGACTTAAATTCCACAATAGTCCCTTATACATCAACCCTGGCATACACAACAGAAACCTTAGCAGGGTCTCGGGTAATTAGTTAATAAGAAATAAATGACATACGGAGGAATAAGGCAGTATAGTGTCCATACAGACACTCAATCTGCCTACTTAAATTCCACAATAGTCCCTTATAAATGCAAATAGACACAGAGAAGCAATAAAGTGAAGAGAAAAGTGCAAGTTGTGAATAAAAATGAGAAAAAAAGTTGGTTTTATATGGTAGAAATATGGGAAATTTTTTGTCAGGTGATTTTAGGTGATATCACTATGTTAATTTGCTCCAGATAAACATGTTTAAAATTTGAATAATCATTGGTGTCTGCAAATACACAATTAGGATACAGGACTATAAAATTGACCAGGTTTTTAAAACAGGTTAATTTTCCACTATTTAAATATCCACACAAAAACAGCTATATTGTTGTTTAATTTTCTTTAACTTAATTAAATATAAGAATAGATGTGAATGATATCCAATTTATTGATACACTCAAAATGTATTAGCTTTCAGTATTTAAAGAAATATTCTAGTATAGTAAGTACAGCAATAATCATTGGTGTCTATAAATACACAATTAAGATACAGGGCTAATTGACTATGTTTTTAAAACAGGTTTACTTTCCACTATTTAAATATCCACACAGAAACGGCTATATTGTTATTTAATTTTCTTTAACTTAATTAAATATTATTGATACACTCAAAATGTATTAGTCTTCAGTATTTAAAGAAATATTCTAATACAGTAAGTCCATTAAATTTCATTATTACAAAACATTTACCTAGTAAAAGCTATAATTTTAAAAAATATCTACTATTTTTTTAAGAATCTACATAGTGTAGATTAAAGAAAAACAAATGAATAAAAAACATATATGAGCATGTATGGAAAAAGGAAGGAAACACACCACTGGTACAGTACAATGACAAATGTGAATGATGAAATATGCCTATGATGCTTAAACATGCTCAAAGTAATCAATATTTGAAATTGGCAAGTAACTATATGGATGAAAAAAAATCTTTTAAAAAAATACAAATTTAATTTACTAGATGAATATACTACTTCAAAAACAATGTTGATGACAACTTTCCTTGCTTGAAACATATCTATATGTGTTTAGTGTGATGCAACAGCAACCAATAATGAGATTAGATGTTGCCTTCTAAAATGTGGCCACACAACCATTTTAATGTTGCCTTTTTAACTTTTTATCGTTGATTGTTATCATCAAAGTGTAAACAGGCCTTAAACCTAGTTTATTCATACTCCCTATATCTACTTCCAAGATATGGCTGCAAACCTGTCATGGTACAGTAGTTTGTGCACCCTGATGATCCGAAGAGCTATACTGCATTGTTAGGGACCAGGTATGATAAGAACCAGACAGAAAGCAGTCAAAACTGGCCCATTTCTCACCGAGGTCGGTCGCCCACAGGATCTGTCTTGAAACACAGACCAGGGAGTCAAACACGCCCCACAAGTTGTATTACAGAGACCAGAAGTCTTATGCAGCATAAAACGTGAAGCTGGTATGGCAAGCATTCGCCCTATTTTTCTAATCAATGAGAGGGTGAGAATAACAGAAGTAGGTGGGGGAGGAAATGTTACAAGCAGAGCTAGGCAGACTGTCAAGAGAAAAGATACATTATCTCTATCTCTTGTTAGCCCTAGAAAAATCACCAAAAGATATAGACTACATGCTACCAAGACAAGACAACAACTAGTGTTCAAATTAAGCTTCAGAACATTATATTACCTTTCTTTTTCACTTCAAATAAAATATAAATAAGTTTGAGATTATAACAGTGATATATAGATAAATGTGTAGAGAAAAATATTTAGAAGATAAAGTTTAAAGACAAGAAAACTATTACAAGTACCAATTCTATATATTTTATTTATACATAGAACATAGCAATGTTATAATAAAATACAAATTCCTAGAATTCAATAAAACATGCATATCAATGTATTTAAATAAGTTGGTAGGTATTTAGCCAATGCCATTAAAATCATGAATCATATAATAATATAAACTAGGTTTTCTTTTAATACTAATTCCTGAAAACATTGATAAAAGTGTGTACGTGTGAATGCAGGTAATTTTCTATAGTTCTGATGTTGAAATTATGGGAACAATGGCAATAGCCAGTTTTTATGCGAGTAATCATTCACCAAGATTTAACAACTGCATCCTAATATTAGCAATATATGATGTATAGAAACAAGTACCATCAATACAAACAATTGTGCCATAATATAATTATTCACTAGATGGAAGTATGTGGGACTTACCTAGATTAGTTAAGACATCATCCCGTTCTTTCTCAGTTTCTTTTATTCGGTCTAACAAAGTGTTAAGCTTCTCCTCATACTGAACCTTAAGCGTGTGCAATCTTCGTTGACTCATTTCTAATTCTTCGATTAGTTTCTGCTTTACGGTGATCTCGCACGCAATCTCGGCCAGGTCTTCCTGCAATTTTACTTCAGCTAGACAAGAGACAAGATATATTTCATTTTTAAAAACTACAATTTATATATAGCACATTGTGTGTTTATATATGTTTGCATAAAGTAAATAACTAAATCCAATTCCATCACATGCATTACAAGATACCTTGCTCCTGTTCATCTTCTTCATCGTCATCTTCATCCTCATCCTCATCTAAATCAGAGTCTCCACTCATCTCTTTTGCATCATCTTCATCATTCTCCTCGTCTTCTCCTGTTTGATGCAGGGCAACATCATTTGTGACCTCCATTTCTGCTTCCAGAGGTTCTGCATCAGAATGCCTGAAATTTGTGAACAGCCTGTATAGCATTTTGATATTGATACTTGGCTTTGTTATACAGCAAAATTGTAGTTAACTTGGAAAACTTACAGGTAATTCACAGCAAACAAGAGGCATGCTCATTGTTGGAAACCTTCAACAAATTTTTTCTACAGTCTATATTTTGAACAGGTTCGAAATTACCTCCACGTGTTCAGAGCTACTGATTTAGTATAAGTTCTCTCTGAGTTGCTAAAATTGTTCACTACAAGTTTCCATACTACCAACCTACCAAACTTTTTAAAGATTGTATGTAAAAAAAAACCTAGCTGTGAGAGCTGCTTCAGCCCTTTTTCCTAGTTCCATCCCATACACGAAGGCATAAAGGGCGCTACCATAATGAAAATCATTTCCATCAACTGTTGTGAAACAGGATCAAATATACAGTAGTTATTTTTAAATAATTTCTTCTGGGTCCTCCCCTGAACCTTCATCCTTGGCAGAAAACATGTTAACTGCTTTATAATTATGATTTTTTTCTTGAATAGTAAATATATTTTACCCATGACTACCGCTGAGGTGCCTTTGCTTTTGATGGCTGCTAGCCTCTTCAACTTGGCGCAGTTTTTCTTGGTCATGTTCTAACTGTTTCCTGGCCACCGCTATCACTTGCTGTACACTACAATCTAATGGATCATTATACTCATGCCTAAAATAAAATATAAATCCTCAAAATTTCAATAAGACAAATAAAAAAGGAAATCAAAGGAATCAATTAAAAACATTTGGTGTATGTAATGGTTGCAATGATTAAAGATAGAAGTAAAATTAAGATTTAGTTAGGTAAGTGAGCCTTCATGACACACAACAGGAACGGTAAATTCAAATAATTAGGGACATGAGGACAGCTAACAACTAGAAATGAGGTGATAGAAGGCTGGGGATATTACTGCTGAGCGTTTACACTTCCTAGCTGGGTCTTGAAACCAGTGGCGGCACGAGTGGGGGGAATGGGGGGTTTAAGTCTCCCACCAGACAGGTCAAGCCCCCCCCCCCCATCGGACAAAGTTTGTCGGGCAGTCAGACCATAAAAAATATATAAAAAGGCCCACACCAAACCAACACATGTCTGTCACAGTCTGAGAATGCCATTTCCGGTCATCCAGGTTGAATCTCACTTGGGAGGGGCAACCCTCCCTTAACCCCTTCCACCAGCTCGGGCATACGATCTCAAGTCCCCCGTCAGACAGCTTAGCCCTCACTAGAGCCGCCACTGCTTGAACCTAGGTTCCCAGCAGCAGGAGTCAAAAACCTTATTACTGAGCTGCCTGAGTAGCATTTCATAACTTTGTAGTGTAATAATCAGCAGGCCTGAAATAATTTAAAACAATTTAAGTTTTACCGGGAGTCTGAGACGTGTGGGTGCATCGACCATGCCGTGGAAAGTCTGGAAGGTGACTTAGTTGAATGTGAAAGGGAGGAATCAGCCCGCCTCTTCATGTTTGTCATCATTGTCTCACTTTGAATTAGCTTTGCCCTATGCAAAACAAAATAATATAATTTGATTATGAAGTCTTGGCACACGATTGGTTGTTTATTTACTATTTGTGTCTCTTTTTCACTTAATAATCATTGATCAATTGATCTTGTTTTTTATACTGTGTATTTTTAAGTTAAGTTTATGTGATATACTGTGATGACATAAAAACATTTAAAAAGCTAGTTAAGTTATTAGCTATAAATTAAAAATAAGAATAAGAAAATACTTCCTGGCAGATAATAGACATATAAATTAAATAGAATTCCTATATTGATTTGAAAATCCCATAAGCAAATCAATTAAAGAATTTCATGAAAAAAAGGTTTGTAAATGAGTAGGAATTGAAATGGTTCCATCTGTGTCTTATCAAAAGCTTCTTGATCATTTTAAGACCAATTAAAATTTGTTGAATGAATTTTACGTTTTTCACCTGATATAGTATATCTTAAAAAATATTATTTAATATAAAAAGATTTATATTTAGTTAATTTATTGGACTAAATGAAGAAATAAAAAACAAAACAAAATTAGTGTGGTTCGGTGGTTAGCATTATACCAGTACATTTTTAAGCAGTAGTAATACACGTATTTGGTTGATCAATAGATTTAAGCACTAGAATATTAATTGACTGTATTACCTCAAATCTTCAATTTCCTGTAAATAGTTTTGGATCATGGACGTTATTCCATCATCTTCTCCTTCTGAATCTAAAAATATGAAAACAAATCACAGAATGAATAAAGTACAAATATGATGTCTATAGAGTTCATCTCGCCCAATGACATTTCAAAATGAAAATAGATGAGCCGTACTAGTCTGATGTAATAGAAAATAAAACACAAAAAAACATTTAGTACTTTAAAAAACTAGTTCATCTGACAGTACACTAGCTTTCTTGCACACAGTGCACTTCTTCAGATGAGTGTGTGACATTCACCTGAAGATGTGTGACATTCACCTGAAGAAGTGCACTGTGCACGAAAGCTAGTGTACTGTCAAATAAGCTAGTCTTCAAAGTACTAAATATTTTTAGAGTTTTATTTTTTATTTCAAAATGAATTACACATAATCCTGGAGATAACTGTTTTAATGAGAATCACCTGTAACCATACATCTCAGAGACAAACTATATAATTTATTGAATAGTGCATAATGTTTCAAATATTGTCTCTCAGATTACTAGAAATAACCATAATGATAAAGTGGTCTCATATATCTAGCATCATGCACCTCAAATAGAGAAATTAAAGCTGGGCTCCAGAAGAAAAACAATTTTTGATAAGTTATACAACTAAAGACACAAAAAGAAAACTCGGGAAGGGTTACTGAGATACATCTTCTTGAATAATTAAAACGGGGAGGGGAGAGAGCAGCTTAGCTCAGTCGGCTAATCTGGTGGTAGCCACTGTGTGTGTGCTGAACCGTGGAGATCTCTAGGACCCCAGTTCAATTGTCATCACTGTCTTTCCTTGTGTTTCAGCTGGAGGGCTTAAATGCAAGTTACAATAGCGCACCGTCTTTCAGATGAGACGTTTAAGCCGTTGGTCCTGTGTGCATTTATGGCCCATGTGCACGTTAACGAACGCAGTACACTCTTCGGAAAAGAGTAGGGGATTGTCTCCCGGTGTACTGCCCAATCACCATCAGGACCCCACTGGAAATAAGTCTTCTTCTAGACTTTCGTGGGCTATCCTTGGTGTTTACACCGAATAAATTCCATCCAATCCAATGCCCTTTTTAACTGTTCCGGGGTTGTTTGTCAAACACTGTTTTTGTGCCTCAGAAAAAACAGTTGTACAACATATCAAAAAATGTTTTTCTGGAGCATGGTTTTAACCAATTAAAAACTCAGGTTCTACTTATCTTTGATTATTGCTTTTATAGCTTAACTACCACTTAACTTTAAAACTCTGGTTAAATTTCCATAGTAGATAGTGTAAAAACAATGATTAACCTAGCTTTTAAATGCTTTTAGGGACTTGCACCTTCCAATCTAAAAATATGTTTGTTTTTGTCCGAATCATCTGTCAGTTACACAACAAACTTACAGTATGTCAATGCCATTGGAAAAGTACCTTTCATTATCATCAAGCATATGTGAACTGGAACCAACAAAACTAAAACCTGAATATTATAAATGTTTTTGCATAATCATAAACTTACATATTGATTAATTTTTTGTAATGATTTTTAAAATATTGTTCATATTTCATTTGTATTTACTGTTGTATTTATTGTACCTTTATTGAAAATATGGACCAAAATTAAAGCAGTGCTTTTGTATTGTACATGTCAGTGCTATTGTATTGTACATGTCATCAAAAATAAAGTTGAAATAAATAAATATATATAAATAAAGAAATGAAAATGAAATTACAGACAGCAATTGAGACAAATTCCTTACTACATAAATCTACTTCCCAAATAACTCTGAATTATGTCTTAAAATAGAGTTTACAATGTAGATAAGATTAAAGACACTTGTATGGAAAGCAAAAATAGTTGTTCACGGAAATGGATCTTTGATTAACAATATTTATATATGGAATGTGCCCTAGGTTTGTATGGAAAGCAATGATAGTCATATTGACTCACTTGTTATGTTATTTAGTTGAAACCTTGCTTGGTCCGCCATCATTAAAGCAATGCGTGAACTCATTGCATCAATGGTCTCTTGCATGGCACGTACACGTTCCCTCAATTTGTTGATTTCCGTTTGCAGCATTGTATTTTCATGGAACAAATCATTAATCTCTTCAACACCATCAGCATTTAATTGTCTTTTACCCTGAAATGATAAACAAATTCGTAACTGATCTATTTGTCATGTTTTTGTAATTTAAACAAAATTATATATTGTATTTAATTACTAATGTGTTATTGAGTTTTTCTTTAGTTTACTTGGTTGGTATACTAGCACTAAAATTTATTTTAAATTTATTTTTATTAAATCATTAAATAGCGAAAAAAAAAAATGACCAGGAAACTATGATTTTGAAAGTTTGTGTTAATATTTGTTTGGTAAAAGCGATGTTTGTTTGTTGTCTACAAAATATCCATAAGTAGCATTCAACTATTATTTATTAGGAAAGAACGTCACATTGATTTAAAATGAAGATTGCATCGTCAATGACTAAAATAACTATTTGCAAAAAAAAATAACAAACTTGGCTAGTTGAGTAGAAACTGATAACTATGTGTGCAAATCAACGACCTTCTTGGCATCTCCCAAGGGGAGCAATTGCAACTTGTTCATTAGGCCTAGTTAATTATAGACCACTTTCCAGGCTCCTTCAATAATTTTTGTATCTGTGGGAAATTTAAAGTTGTCGGAAGTTACGATTAAGTCAAGGCCACGGATAGTGTAGGCGCTTGGATGTAGTGCTTGTGAGGCCTAGCTGAAGTAAACCCCATACGCCTGCAATATCTATGAAATTCTTGATTCAGGCTTGGCTATTTGACTGTAGCTATCAGTATTATATCATTTTAAGGGATCTATTACATATAAATAGAATTTCAATGGAACATAGTGTTGTACAGTCCTTCACATATCATAAATAAATAAATATTTATAGCTTTCAAAGGGAAAAACTGACAAAACTGAAGGTCAGATGCTCAAAGATAAGCATATGGTAAGAACTGATAAGGATTAATTACTGCTAACTACTGCCTTGTTTTTAATCACGGTCGTAATGATTCACGTAATTTGCATTTGGAATATTATTAATCAGCAGACAAGAATAAAAACACTGTATTTGCATTGGTGCTGTTATAACCTGTAGTATAAATTCCAGTATTCTTGCATTATTGCAGAGTAGTAGTTATAAAAAAAATGCACTGTCCATATCAGGAATTGATCCCAAGACCTTCTGATTATCGTTCAGTGCTCTATTAACTAACCTATGAGGTCAAGCTGCCAATTTACACAATCCTAGATTTTTCCATTAGAACATTTTTTTTTATATTGCATGGTATGCAATACACAGTGAGGTAATGCTCGGCATCACATCCAATCAATGACAAATAACTCAGGATATTTATGTTTTAAGTGTAGTATTAATAGTATGACAAGTGTCCCAAGTTGGAAGAAGTCATTTCTGGGAGACCTGTTCAAACAAGCTTTTTTAGCATGCGACATCTAATTTTGTTTTGTTGCTTACGGTGACACGTATTAATACTGACTTCTGTGAGACAAATGCTAATAAAGGGGCAATACAGTAGTAAAAACATACAGATTTAATGAGTCCAGTTGCAGGAGTGTGTGAGGCCGTCCTAATTTCTGTGAGACTCTTGCGACTTTGCTTATAAATAAGAGCTTACCAAAATTAGGAAATGGCTAAGGAGGACTGATACCTTAATTAGGTTTAAATAAACTGACCACTGATAATCTTATACTAACCTGTTTGTACTCCATCAGCTCATCCTGAAGCATACGAATCTCAGCCCGCAATGCCGCTAACTGCCTACTTGTCTTGTCTTGGTTGGCCACAACTTTATTCTTAATGTTACGTGCCCTGTTGGCATATCGTAACGTGTTTAATGTCTCCATAAAGTCAGGATCAGAGGGACTTACACAAGCTATCATCAGTGTTCGACTGAAAAACATTATATCATACATAAATGAACATGATTTAGTAACCCACTGTGTGGACTGCAACATGTCATGTAAAAGTCTGCCAAAATTACTGACCATAATACTGTAGTTAGATAAAAGTTCTTGATGTAAAAAAATATTTTTATTAACTGATTAATGGTTTAATTAATATAATAAAAAAAAACAAAAAAAAAACAATGTAACTTTACTGCAAGGGATCTTCCCAGAGTTTCAATCAAACTTAACCAACCAATCAGAACAGGGACAAGAATATGCGCGTGTCACGCGTTGTCCCACAAATGCACATGTTTGCTTATGTTTTTACACTGTAGTGTTGTGGGACCTTAACAAAAATATCCAAAAGCGGGTCTTAGCGGAAAAGATTTTTGAATGCATTAAATCTAACCTAAGTACGTTAGTGTACGATGCATGCTCTACTAATTGCTTTATAAGTCAATCGCCGTCTTTTAATGTTAGTTTTTATAACCAACTGTGTTGTACCAGTCATCGGTTGCTATAGTGTTATGATCAGTATACTGTGGGCGTATGCTGATTTGTGTTCCTGCAGTAGGCAGCGCCTAAGCGTAAACTACACATCAGCAGTACTATATGGATACGATGAATAACTAGGCCTAGATTATTTTGTAATTTGTATTGTGCTAAAAGAACTTTGTAATTTTTCATTCATCAAAGAAATAAACATTTTTCAAAGCATTCGAGAGAGAATACAGTTACTGTCACTAAATTGTTTGGTCGGTGCAAACAGGTAAAAATCTTGGGATGATTTCATAACTACGCAAGGCTATACGGCCTAGGCTAAGTAGTTGTAGGAGGACGCCTCGGCGGGTCTACATCTAATTTTGTTCCTTTAGTCTTTAAAAGAGGTCTAGAATATTCTTATTAAATGTTCTGTTTGTTGAGAGGGTTTATTGATTCAAAGAAGTGCTTAATTGTTCATAATATTGAATTTAAAGTAACTTTCTTCAGGTTCTAAATAACCTTGTTTTACGAAAGTAATTCTCAATTACAATTCTATTTTTATCGTGGTTCACGATGGGAAAATTTTTTTTTTGCACACAAACCTAAAAAAATCAAGCCAAGCGTCCAATAATTGAAAAATTAGCGGACGGTGGGGATAGGCAAATAACATTGGGAGTTGCAGTGATGACGTCAGGATTGACTTATAATTGGTATTATATTACAGTTCCAGGATCATTTTTCTTGGAAGGAGTTGAGTATAAATATATCATTTATGCATTCATTAAAACTGTTATGTAACTAAGATTAATAACCTAACCTGTTTCCACCAAGTGAGTCTTGTAATAATCTGGTGAGTTTGGAATCTCTGTACGGCACATGAGTTGCTTTCTTGCTCCTGTCACCAAGAGCACTTATTACATTCCCTAATGCAAGCTGTAAAGAGGTTAAACAAATTACTCAATGTTTTACCAAGCCATTCAATGTCCAAACAATATATTTCTTAATTTTTATTACAAAATGTACAGTATCATATTTGTTTGTGTTAGCAAAATGTGACTACATTAAAAAGCAATGGAGCATATTTATCATTGAAGGGCTTTAAAATTGTTCATGTTATATTTCAACCATAGGTATGACCCTTGATTTTTTTCACTACATACCAACTGGTCTTTTGGTCTGGTTTATGTCATCTGAAACCAAAGGTTATAGGAACTAGGACCACAGGTTAATTGGCCTAAAACCATGGTTACAATATCTGGAACTACTAGTATAGAATCTAAAACCAGAGATTATAGTAAGGTTTAGAACCACAGTTTATAAGGCAAAGAAACATGGGTTATATGGTTATAACCACTTCTTAAAGACCAAGAACCACTGGTTACACGGTATGAAGCCACCATTTACAGGGCCAAGGGCAACATTTATAGGGTAGGAAACACTGGTTATAAGGTATTAAGTCAAACTTAATCTAGGCATCAACAACTAAAAATATAATACATAAAAGCAAACATGTTTTGATCATCAAAACTCACTAATCCACAATTAATTGATATTCCTTCCTTGGCTCGATCTCCCGTTGCTCCTGTTCGTTTCAACCTCTCAGAGCCCGCAAGATCCACAAAATGGAACTTAGCAGTTAATGTCTCAAACTCATGAAGTCCAACATTATCGGGTGAATCCGTCTGCGGTGCAGCTGGAGAAATTTCCTCTCCATTTTCAACATTATTGTTCTATTTTGAGTGGAATTTTAAAAAGAAAATAAGGTTGTATAAATGGCAGGAAAAGTCTATGAATTATACTCAATAATTATATGTATGAAACACTGAAAACTGCATAGAATTTAATACAGATTTCACAGACATAAGGTATGTTTTTAATGGCTTCTATATTTAGCCATTGTGCACATTATCATTATCACCTGTAACATATATACGTAATTTGCCCACGGACCAGATGTCGTTTCATTGTACAAAATCCTGAATTCTGTTAAATAAATGTGCTAAATTTGATATCAGTGAATTTGAATATAATATCAAAATACTCTAAATGCTCTAAAAAATATTGATCACAGATTGTCAGTCTTTATAGAGTATGCATGATATTATATTATTATAATATAAGGCCAAAAAAAAAGTTTGTTTGCCCTCCACCACCTGCCCCTAACAAAAAAACTTAGTAACAAATTTTTTTTAGATTTTCTTTCCAAATCAAAAAAAATATCTTTATTTTTTGCCAGATGCCCTACAAACTAGTCTAAAGTTGTTGTCTGGTGTATGATATTGCCATTCTAGGCCTCTTTGTGTTATTTTCATTCCATTTGATGAGTATCTTAGAAAGAAAAAAAAAAATTTTTTTCCACCCGCCCCTTTTTGTAATTTTAAAAAGGAAGGGCAAACACACAATTAATTTTTTCAGGCCTAATCAGTGGTCCACTTGGTTTCCTCTTCTATTTTCTCCAAAACAAAATTTTTGTATTGAGTTGTAACCTGGAGCACTATATGACAGTGTTTGACTTACCACGTTTACAAGTCTCTGTTGTTTCACATGTAGCGTGAATATGGCGTGAGATCGTGAACTTTGCGCATTCATGTTTGTACATGCAGTCGTCCTTGACAATGCCCCTGCCTGTAGTGCTTGCAGTGTCTGAAAGTGAAATAATAAATGCGAAAATTATGAATACCAAAACAACTACATTTTAAAATGCATAGTATGATGAGATGAGAACGCTTTAGGATGGTACATTGCAAAATCCAAATAATATCTTACGTCCTGTTCAGAGGTTACGGGGCGTGTGGTAGCACCTACAACGTATATTCCACCAGTGGCGTCTTCATGAATTCGTATATGGGATTTTCTATTCTGTTGAAAAAAACATTCAGAAAATATACACAGATTACATATAACAAAATAACTTGAATGATAAAAATGCAATAAATTAATATGAAAACATGGTAATGATTAAGTGGGTGGAATAATTTTATAAAAAGAAATCCACCTATATATAACAATTCAATAAAAATGGCTAATAATCCTGTCACACACACACACACACACACACACACACAGAGGAATTTGCATTGGAATAGTAGTTTATATAATGTTAGTTGACAACGATACCTTGAACAGTCCGAATAAAATAGACATATTGCAACTGATTAGTATACCTCCTTGCGCCATACAGACGGTACTTAATATTTTTTTTTTTAACTTATGGCACTGAATCAACTGCCTCATAATATTATTTTTATTAACTTTTTTATTTTATTTTATATCACACCCAACAGCGGGTAATGGTCAATGGTCATATATTTATATAGCGCCTTCAACAGAAAACTGTCTCAAGGCGCTTTTGAAGCCACAAGGAACAAAGACAAAAGAATGCGAAGGGGGTGGGGGAGTGCGCACCCCCAATTTTGAGATAGTGTCGCCATCACTACTGTGTGCACGCAGGTACCTCGGCGGCAGTTCTGCTACTTACGGAATAGATAACAATAAAATAAATGTATAAATATGGATATATAAAAAAGAGAAACAGACATAAGTAAGAAAAAACAGAAACATAAAAACATAAATTATTTATTATTCCATTCTTAGTCATACAGTAGTCTCAATATTTTTATCATACATATATTATTATATATTTTGATTTTGTATTATTTCTTTTTACTTATACACTGTAATATTCTCCATCTGAAGATAATCTGTTTAAATTTGAATTTGTAATGCATAATTTCTATACTTTCTTTTCCATTTTATTTATTTATTTTTTTCATATTCTCCCTTGTTTTTATATTCTATCCTTTTTTTCCTTTTCATTACCTTTCTACAGTATTTGTAACTGGAATTAAATTACAAGTTGTGTCAAGTAGTATTAATAATCTGTGTTAAAATAGATTAATTTCAGGAATAAAAGTACTTATTGAATGGTAAAACATATGAAGACATCTAGATCCACAACAATTTGTATCTGAGAAATGTGAAAAAATTATATCAATTACAGAAAAAATATCAGATGAGAAGTTATTTTGCAAAAAATATCATTTTGAACATAATATTGATGTTAAGATTATTTTGAGCACTTCAATCCAAGTGTTACAGTGCTTTCCCCATAACACAACATCAAGATGACCTTGAAATTGTGTAAACTTATGTGCATAATTCTTACTACCTTGCACTTTCCCTTTCTTCACATTGCATTCATCTATTACAGTATTCTACATAACCTACACTTACTCCCTCTCTTCTTATCCCCCTTCCTCCTCACAATGCATTCATCTATTACAGTATTCTACATCACCTACACTTACTCCCTCTCTTCTTATCCCCCTTCCTCCTCACAATGCATTCATCTATTACAGTATTCTACATCACCTACACTTACTCCCTCCTCACAATACATTCATATTCCAGTATTCTACATCACCTACACATATTCCCTCTCTTTTTCCCTTGTCCTCCTCAAAATGCATTCATCTATTCCAGTATTCTCCTTCATCTACACTTATTCCCTCTCTTCTTTTCTCCACCATCCTCACAATGCATTCATCTATTGAGGTATCTTCCATTACCTACACTTACTTACTCCCTCCCTTTTTTCCCTTTCTCCTCACAATGCATTAATCTATTCCGGTATCCTCCATCACCTACCCTTACTCCCTCTATTTTTTCCCTCCTCCTCACAATGCATTCATCTGTTCTGGTGTTCTCCATCCCCTACACTCATCCTTCCCACCTCCTAATACCTCCAAAATTTGAATAAGTTTAATACTGTTATATTTCATGTTACAAAATATTTAGAGTGGAAATGCATATGGGAAAGGCAATTTTGAGGCACATATTGTGAAGCTGGTGTTTTTTATTATTGATTGCAAAACCAACAAGAAATGTATTTGATTCAAAAACCAAAATAAAGCTTATAATGTCATCTATCTAGATTAAATATATCAATAACTCATGTTTGTTACTATTCTACTGTAGCAGCACCTCGCTGTGATTCTCCTGAATCTGAGAATCACATTATGATACACATGGCTGAATCCCAGCTTGAATAGCAATGAATGCTACAACATTAGGTGATATAAGTGCCCATAAAGACTGCCAAATATGGCATGATATCAATAGTCTTTTGTTACCATCAGCATACATGCATAATGCCTCATGTTTCCACATCACTTGCACATGACAATCACAAAGTTGACTATCATTGATTGAGATCAGACCTTCAGCGAAGACTAATTAAACCGGAAAGTTAAAAATTTATCTATGCTTCATTTTGTTTTGTTCAGTGGGAAAACGATAGCTGTTTTAATTATTCAAGTTAACAATCAACCTTTGATACTGTGTGTTAATGGAAACAAGCCGACTATTGCTATCTCACTCAGTTTCATATAAAATTATAGGTAGTTCAAATGTATATGACACAATCTACAGAATTTGGATAAAAAGATGCTTTTTTTTGTCTGTACAAGAGGTGTCCTCTTTATACTGTAACTTAAATAACATTAACATTGCAGATACGGAGGAATGGAAGGAGAGAGGTTCACTATTTTACTAGTATATAATTCAAAAGGACCATTGTAATATATGCATAATAACTTACCCTTGTGGTTTCAATGTCTCTTGTTGTGTCAAATAAGTCAATGATTTCTTCATTATAGAGCTGAAATATATATATACATTGATGTTTCATTTATGTTTTTCATTCATGCTTTTGATTCATCATTTGTGATCATACCATAAATAAAAAGACATAATGAGGTTTCATTAACTACTCAGTTCACACCATGTTATTGATCTGTTGAGGTTCACACAGGTTTCCATTTCAATGTGAAAATTTACAATACTAAAAACTATTTAACCGCAATACAAAAAAGTCAATTTCAAAATAGCATTACAATACAGACCTTCTAGGCTGACGACTACAGTACTATATGGTATCTAAAAAGTGGATATTTCATAAAGAAATATTTAATTTTATCTATTTCTACAAATACATAAGTTGACAGAAAAACCTAAGACTAAAGCAACTCCGCTCCCTAAGCACCATTTGAGAAGTTTTCCACCTAATTTAAAGCTAATTTCATGGCACATTAACCCCTTGTCCATCCTTAAAACCTACCAATGTTATCACCCATCCACCCTAAAATGTCTACCACCCACATTATAGCTACAACCCTGAAAAAGCAGAACTGGGCCTGTGGGAGAACAGTAGGTTTCTACTAAACAGGTAAAACATTTAATCAAATTAAAATCGAATTAGATTACATGCAGTTCAAGATATACCACAAATATTTTTTTTTTTTAAAGGCTATATGATTTTATATTTATAGAGTTACTCTATTTTTTTTTTTTTTTTTTTTGGTTCTTACCTCCATAAATTCAGCATAGATCTTGAATTCTGGGGGCGGCTCATTTCGTTCTTTTGCTGCCGTTTTTCTAGCTTCGATCCCCATGAACAAATGACGCACTGCCCTAGGTATGATACCTTGTTGCTCTTCTGTGATACCTTGTTCGAATCCTGTACCCATCGAGTAAGTCTTTCCAGACCCTGTCTGACCATAGGCAAACACAGTGGCATTGTATCCTTCAAAACACCTACAAAATATAACAAAATACTCATTTAAGTAGTAGTATGATAGGGTTTTATTAGGCATTTTTCGTTTTGACTACGCGGCCAGTCTACTACGAACTAATAGAGCGTAACAGACATCTGCGCATGCTCACAAACCTTACTGGCTAAATCGGCGTTGTGACAGCTTCCGCGACAACCCCTTATACACATCTAGATACCCTAATACTGACCAATCAGATCACCGGATTGTTTAGCAAACTGCTAGTAACTTTTTTGTTGGGGGTTGCAATTTTCATCGCATCCGCGATCGAGCATTATTCGTTTATAATGAATTAATTATTAAAGCAAGTTAGTAATTAAATGTTTTATATAAAGGCCTATTTAAACACATGCAATAAATGAGGAATGAATAGTCACAACATAAATTTAGGTAAATCAGGGGATAGTGAAAAAAGAGCCTTAGGCCTAGGCTAGCCTAGTTTTGTCAGGGTGGATTTCGCGTAGGAGAAAACACATTATCTGGTGCCGCTAGCTAGGGCATCCGCCCTTGATATCGTGGATCAAGCCTTGCTATATAAATTAAAATACCTCTGTTTAAAATTGTTATTTATTTGTACATCATCATTGCATTTGGCAAATTGCCTGAGCAGGCCTGACACCCCTCTTCTCTCGGTAACGACTCTTTTGACACCTAGGGCCTAGGCTAGGCTGGCCTAGCCTAGGTAGGCCTAGATCCTAGCCAACAGCGAAACATCACTCAGTGTTTACTGGAAACTTTTAATTTTGTATACAGTATTTGGCTGAAGTTTTTTTTTCACATTTCCTTTTTCAAATATAAAACAAGGGAACATTGTTCTCTGGTAATAAAACCATGGTCGACTAACTCCCCTCCGTAGGCCTACGTGTGTGCTGCGTCGTCGTAGTCGCCTTAAAAAAACGAAAACAGCTCTTGGTCTACTACGCGAACAGTGTCTTGGCGTTGCCGTCACGCTCCATTAGTTCGTAGTAGACTGGCCGCGTAGTCAAAACGAAAAATGCCTATTAGTGAGCATGACAGTACATCAAGCTAACCTGATATATGAAAATGTATAATGGTAATTTACTTAACACCTCCCAATACCTACCTCCCAAAATACAAACACAATTTGTGGCAATGACATTACAATCTGTTCTAACTACCAAAACATTTAAAGTACATATTTACAAAAAACCTAGACAAATATTATAGAGTGGTGTTACCACGTTTACATAAAAATGGAGTAATAATAACATTCACTTTTACTTTCAGTGACCTTGTATTTTAAAAAAAAATCATTTAAAATGAACACCATTCTAGTTGCTATTATAATTTGATAAGAAATTAATGAAATACTAGATGAATGAAGCTGTAGAAACACAGAAATTGGGTAACTATTTTGTTTTTCAGTCAATAGAATTAGTCTGCAAATCATCACACTTTTTGAAGACTGACTGTTACTCTCAAAGCATATCAGAGTAAAGAATAATATCATTTACTTTGTGCTGTAAAACCCCAAACAGGACTCACAAAGAAAAAAATTAATATAGTAATATAATTATTTGTCATGAATTATTCATTCACAATAATTAACAACATACAGTTCAGATGATAACAATATTCACAAATAAAGTTTTATTACCATTGCAACTCAAAACATTAGAAAGCATGAGTCGGTATTGGCAACGTAGCAGACTGTAATTAGCAACTCATTACCACTGTCTGCTAAAGTTCTTGGCCTCTGATCAAGTCTGTCCCAACGACTTGCTTCATTTAGCTAGGAATGCCTTCATAGCAGTGGCAGCTCTAGGAAATATTTGGGGGGGGGGGGCCTTGACCTATACGGTTGGGACTTAAGCCCATGTCCCCACCACTGCTTCATAGGAAAATACTGTAGGAGAGGATGGTTAGAAATAAAAGTACAAGTCTTACATGGCCAGCCTATATGCTACAATAGATTATTTTATTTGTTATATATTGTTTATTCAGACAATAAAATTATTTTTATTGTATTCTTCATTTATTTATCTTTGGCTTTATTAAAAGAAGTGTTGCAGTAACTCTTGTAGCTTTTTGTTTTTATATTTCTATGTTTTCATGGTGAAAGTTGTTTATTTCTAAACATTTGGTATAATCAATAAAGACTTTCAAAACTAACAAAAATATACTTTATTGAGCACACTATTGAGCACACTATTTCGTTCATGCAGTGAACATCTTCAGGTGACTGTGGTTGGAAAACCATGAAGGAAATTTAGTAGGTTTATAAATTATATAAATAGCATAGCTCTCCTAGTATCATCTCATTCCTCTTTGAACATGAAATTGGACCAATTTTTTTGTCTGAGGGTGGGCGATGGAGAGGAAACTTATACCAGGGTAATCCCCTTTTCAATCAAAAGGCAATTGTCAACACTGGATGCTTAATTCAAAGCCAACATTTAATTTTTATTTTATTTTAAAAGTCAGTTTAGTTAATCATCATACCATGGGCTTTTGCCGAGGAAAGGCTAGTGAGTAAAAATTGATGTAGGATACAGTAGGGATGTGGGGGGGGGGTTAATACCGGAGGTGAGTTTATTATAGCAGAGGAATTAAGGTTATAGAAAATAAAAATTACATTTGATTTTTTGAATAATATATTTTGCATAAAAAAATACAACTGATTTAGATCTGGAGGTTATGCAACCAGTCCAAGAGATTGGTAAATATCTTAAGTAATCACACTGAATGCAAGTTCAGTGCACATCATGAATGATTCAATTCATCTAAAAGTCACTATTGATACAACATAAATATTCTAGAATAATTGCTTTTAAGTGTTAATGCAATATCAATCAAAGTTTTTAATTCAAATACATATATGTCATGAATACATGCATAAATATATAAAAATGTCTATGCATTTTATATCTTAAAAAATGGGGAGATGGACAAAGAGACACAGTGACATAGATGTGATGAGGAGTAATTGTGAAGTGTGTGTTCTGTGATTGAAGCATACAGCCTTGTAGACAGTATGGGAAATGCTAAGAGGAAATCTGGTCTCTGAGATTAAACCATCAAAATGGAGGAACATGCTAACTAGACAAGTTAGTTACTTAATCATTATGTGATAAACAGATACAAAATGAATAAAAGATAAATGACAATGTTAGCTACTTAATAATTATTTCATGATGAGCACACAAGATGGATAAAAATTAATAAAATATGAGAATAGAAATAAATCAGAGAACTGCTGAATATTTATTAAGGAGTAATGTATAAAATTAATTAAAGATGTACTGGTATATTATAGATGTCCATATATAATTATGTATGGAATTATGGTTGATATTAAATAAAAGATGATTAGCATAAAGATAGATCAGAATCTACTTTAAAATCATAAAATTAGAATAAAAATAGCTAAGTAAAGAACACTGTTTTATTAGCTGGTAAGTAAATGTACATTAAGTGATGCATGAAAAAGTAGACAAAATAAAGAGATTCTAATGGCGGTTACCACTGCAAAATATAATAAGAATATGAGATCAAACACTTGAAGTCTTTAAGGGCAGTACTGTACAGCTACTCTGAATAACCAGTCAATTAATAATTCTGTTTGAATCATTTACATTCCCTAGATTTTATCAATATTACGTCAAAGTAACACACATTTGATGCTTTGATTATTAGCTTTATGATTTAAGCACACACTAATCTATTCTTGCAGCCTGGGGAATATTAGAAATGGTTTATTTCAAATAATTCTAATGAATTAATTTCTATGCGCTGTAGTCATGATGATTTACATTATAAACTACTCCATTGTTTATTAATAAAATAGAAAAGCTAAAAGATTACTTGTCCTTAAGATATGCGTTTTCCAAAAACCGAAAGGTCCACTGATTAATCTCAGATAAGAAAGTATAATACATACTCCAAGTATTGAAATACACGCCATCGTGTTGGGATTCAATACTTCGACATTAATTATGTCATCATCAGGAATGAATCATTCATTCCTGATGATGACATAATTAATTCCTGATGATGACATAATTAATGTCGAAATATTGAATCCCAACACGATGGCGTGTATTTCAATACTTGGAGTATGTATTATACTTTCTTATTTAAGATATGCATTTTTTGGTTCCACATTTAAGCACAATATTATAATAATGGACAATTTTAAGTAAAATTAAGTTCACTGAACAGCATATGCTGCAGTACAAGCCTTGCTTAGGTACTACTACTTCTAAATTTTTATTTTTCAGTCTCATAATGACGGATATAAAAACTGAGGTCAACGATATTAGAAGACAATCAGCTGACATCCTTTATGATCATTTAGTGTAAAGTGAACTTTTGACATGGATTTAAAAACTCATCCCAAATGCAATAACAGTAGTTTTTAAATCACATAGATTTGTTTCCTTCTCATTAGTACATGAATTTTGTTGTACTATATTTTAGGAAAACAATGTGCCTTAACACTCTGACTGCCACTGCCAGACTTTTTAGTGAATTTTAACACTTTTCCAAAGCTTGTTGAGAGTACAATGTGATCAGATTAACATGTAATGAATAGTACACAAGAATTACAAACATCTTAGCTTTACATTGGTACAAACCTTTATTCTAATCACAATCTGTGACCCGTAACAGTAAAATGAAAATGACTCACTTTTGGAGATTTACGCAAATTTCACATAACAAAGCTGAGATAATCGCGATTTTTTGAAAGGACTTTAAAACTATCCAAAGATTTATTATAATTTGTAAATCATATTACATCTTACATCATCTGATGACATGCTTTCATCAAAATCCGCACAAATTTTAGCACATGCCTCAGCGGCATAAAACGCGCCATCAGAGCTAGCTGTGGCGTGAGTTTTTTTTTTATCAGATTGGATACTTTCAAATAGTGAAATACTTATGGTCCAGTGTTCAAATTGTTAGTACATGTCGGTAATTACCCCATCTATTGGATTCAGTGCTAAAACCTGAAACACA